TTCCCCCTTTCTTAACATCATCTCTAATCATTTCTACTTCTTTAAGGAACTGAGGCAGGTCCTACACATTGGTTCTGTCATAACAGGGAGCATTACAGCTTGTTTGGTGTAGGGGCAGACTAGTCTGTCCTTAGATTGTAACTAGTAGGGCATTTAGAATGTTGGTTGTGACTGGCTAGCCACTCAGAGTACTGGCTGTGGCAGGCAAGCTGCTTAGATTATTCTGTAAGCTTATCTGTTAAGACTAGGAACTTATTAGATTGTTCTGTGTACTCAGAACTGTTGGAACAATTAGAAGTGGTGGAAACACTAGAGTGATTGTGTGGTCCTCTTCTTGAACAGACAGAACAGGAGACATAGAACAAGTAGAGTTGTGTGTAGAGGTTAATGGAAACAAACTAGAGAACAAACTATGAAACATAAATAGTAAAGCTGAGCCAGATTGCTTAAGAGGTTGTACAGAAACCCCTTCAGAAACAGGACTGAGTGTGTAGGATATAGGTTGTGAGAGGTTGTAGTCAACCAGATCTAATTTGGGTCCAGAATCTGATTCTTCTGTGATTGAGTTGGTGCACTCTTAGTAGTGCTACTACCTGTTGGCTACTTAGCCTACTCAAGACACCTTGAGAAACCCTCCTTACAGTAGGCTCCAAAATGTTGATTCTCTTGTACTAGTTGAGGTAGAAGAGGTCAGTTGAGTTTACAAGGTACAGACACTAAGAGGGGTCAAGAGTAAGAAGGAATAGGTAGATCTGAGCAGAATGTACAAGTTCTGAAGGTGACAATTAACAAGACAAGAGTAGTACAGAACAATAAAGCTGTACTTCAGAACAAGGCAATACAAGACAAGACAAGGTAAGAGGGAACATTTACTGAGGAGACTGTCAACTACATACTAAGAGTTGTAGTAGAGAGTAACTTGATTGCTGGAAAGTACAAATTACATAAGGGTATTTATAGAAAATATGAGTCCTTTATAGCTACTAGTCCTTTGTAAACAATTTCACTACTGTCTCCTTTGTATCAACCCATCCAGGACTCTGAATCTGAGTCCCCTTTGTATTGATTGACCAGCTGTCTGAAGGCTTAGAGTCTTGCCTTTGTGAATCAGAACTAGAGTCCAGAACCCAACTAGTCTGAATTGAGCAACCAAGACTATTGTGTAAGCAATGATGACATAATCAAAGGATTGCTGACATGAGGATGATGCAACTTTAATGTGACTGAGCCCTTCTGATCAGAACATATTAGAATGTATGTGTTGTGTGAGTGTAACACTGGTCAACAGAGGAGCAACTATAGTGGCTTCCAAAGATACCTAGTACTAGGGGAAACAAGACCTGGTTATATGTAGCTAGGAAGAGAGCTGAACTTGCTTTAAGTCTGTAGTAGTGTGTTCAGGAAGGCTAGGGAGCCTTACTAACAGTAGAGAGTGTTCAGGAAGGCTAGGGGAACCTTGCTAACAGTAGGAGATGTTTGGGAAGGTTGAGGGAACCTTGCTAACATGTAGTACAACAAAGACTACTTTGTCAATGTCAAAAAAAAAGTAGAACAGTACTAGGGAAGTGCTGAACACTGTTACAAACAAGTTCTATTAAGTTCTGGGTTTACTAACACACACAGAACATTAACAGGACAAAGGTATCTTTGTTGTAGTCAGGAATAAGAACTGGTCTATGTACATGCAAGAACTCACCTTTGTTACAGTCAGGAATAAGAACTGGTGCAACAAAGGTGAAAGATTGAAACTATATATACTAGAAATGAAACAAAGGTGGCTCATACCTAAAGGGGAAAACAATGCCAAAGAGAAAAAGGAGGGTGTATACACCTAAGAATGAAGGGTATGTGACTCAGACAATAAGGAAACATAGTGTGAAGATGAAAGAGGAAATGTGTGTGACTCTAGGGTCCACACTAAGGAGGTCTAGGCTTGGGAGAAGGTCTGGGTTTGGAAATGTGGTTCTGCACCAGGAGAGGTACAGAACAGTACAGAAGCTGTCATAAGCTGTAGGGTAGGCTTACAACAAGATCTTAATATCTTAATTTAGTAGTTTAAGAAAAAGTAGTATTATATACTTATAATTTAAGACACACAGGTACAGAGTTTTTAGAGAACTACTAAAGACTAGAACACTTCTACTGAATTTCAAGAGAGACAAGCTTATTGAAAATCTTAATTACATAAAAGTTATAAAGGAAATGTGTATAATAATACATATTGTTGATTTAAAATACTATATACACTATTTTATTTGTTTGCTTGTTTTTTTCTTCTCTTTTTTGGGTTATTATATAATAAATACTTTGTATAAAAAGTGTAATTTATATTAAATAGTAGAAACAATGAGTAGTAGTAGAAAAGCTGATAAGGAATGCCAAAAAGTAGTAATATCATTGTGCTGCTGGAGGAGGCGGCGTCATACCTACTGGCATTCCTTGTGGAGTGCCAAATCCGGGAGGGGGTGGAGGCATTGGCATTCCTTGCGGCGGCGCCCCAAAACCGGAAGGTGGAGGTTGCATGTTCATCATACCAGACGACGGATTGTATCCTGCAAAGCCCGGAGGTGGTGTTGGGACGCCTGGCATTCCCATCGGCATTCCCATCATCGGAGGAGCAGGACCGAACCCAGGCGGAGGAGGTGGAACGCCCATGCCCATGCCTGGTGAAGGTACGGGCGCAGGTGCGGCAGCAAGAGCACCGGCGAACTGACCCTGATACGGTCCTGGAGTACCATACGGAGGCGCAGCAGATACAGGGCGTCCTGGCGCAGCGGCAGTCACACCTACAGGAGCTGCAGCTCCTGGCCCGAAAGCAGCAAGCGCATTGAGCGTAGCGGGAGGAGGACGAGCGCTAGCTGGAAGGGCGTTGTTTTTGCGAGCTTGGGCAGCAAGAAGCCGTTCGGCAGGTGTGCCGTGTCTCTCGCCCTTGCCATCCTTCTTGAATGCATATTGGACGGAGATAGCCTTGTTCATGAGGAATTGATTGTTCATTGCCTCGATTGCGGCGTCGGCAGATTCGAAGTCAATGTACGAGACGAAGCCGTAACCTTTTGACTTGCCTGTTGTCGGGTCACGCGCGACCTATATAAGACGACCCATTGAGTAAACACCGTGTAGACAAAAGGAACAGTGCGCACCTTTGCAGTAGTAGCGAGCATTCCGAATGCGCTAAAAGTATCATAAAGGAGCCTCTCGTCGAGATTTTCATCCAAGTTGCCCACGAAAAGATTCGCGCCAACATCTAACTGCTTCTTATCCGAAGAAGCCTACGCAGAAAGAGCAACGTCAACACTATCATAACGAAAGACAAATCCGTACTATATACGCACCTTGTTAACACGAATAGGTTTCCCCCAAAGTTTTATTTGGTTCATGATTTTACAGGCGTATTCCGCGTCCTCTTCCGTCAAGAATTCGCAGAAACCGTACCCCTGATGCGCCATTGAGATACGGTCCTTCGGCAGATGAACATTCACTAAAGTGCACAAGACAAGTAAAGGGAACCAACATCAGAAGAACATAATGAAGACGCACCCACTGGACCCGCCTGCAACATGAGCTCCCAGATGATCGCGTCCGAGACTCGCTCATCCAAGTTTCCCTACAGCATGTGAGGATGGATGAATCTGAGCAGTGCTGAGGGACGCACCAGGTAGACAGTAGCTTCTTGATTCCGGTCATCCTGTCTCGACATAGTATAACAATAGTTCGTGAGGCCGACTTGGCTGCGGAAGGGAGCGAAAGGATTCTATTCTATTCTACAAGTTGCACAACGTGAATGAATGGAAGTCTCCCGCACGTGATGGATTACCGAATTAAGGAATTGATTGCCACGAGGCTCAGTACCCAAATGTATTGTTCCACTTCTTCGACGTTCGTCGTCTACTGTGTAAATGCAATCTCAATCTATGGGCTGAAGTAAACTCGCTAGCGATTATTATGAGCATATACGTTGTGCTGTGCTGCTATTTCCATACAAGTCCCTTGTGACGAACAACTGTTATCGAGGCCGATTCTACCGGCTCGTGACCCTGCTGCATGACCTCATGTTCATCACCGTCTCGACCACGTTGAGAGCTTCGCTCCGGCACTCTGTTCTTCGTCCTCGTCCACCACCTCTTATCGTTACTCGTCGGCAATTGGCAGCGAAATGTCTAAAGAATCTGCAAAGAAAAAGGCCAGGACGGACGAAAAGTACCAACTATACTGTCCGTACTTGCCTCGCGTTCATGTCTTTAAAGTATTGCATCTGATACGCTCACAGATTGGCCTGGTATCCCAGGCCGCGGTGAGCCGATTCGGCTCGCATTTGAGGAGGCTGGTGCATCTTATGAGGATGTGACCTATACTCAGGGTGTCAGCGCACTGACGAATTTGATCAAAAATGGAACTCACTTTGCCCCACCGGTCCTTCGCCATGGTGACTTGGAGATTTCTCAGTTGCCAAATATCATGCTCTATCTTGGTCAGAAGCTTAAGCTGGTCCCAGACTCAGATGAGGCCAAATATAAAGTCAACCAATACTTTTTGACAATCATGGAGTGGGTACTCTGGTTCTAACTATGTTCCACTAATATCATACATTCCCGTATTGTCAAGTCTCCAAAATGAAGCGCATGATGTCCATCACCCCATTTCCGGTATATTTTTATGAATATTGTCAATTTTCAGACTGCTGACTACTTTTATTAGTTGCTCTTTACTACGAGGACCAGAAGGATGCTGCCAAGGAGCGTGCCAAAGACTTCCGCGAAGCACGTATCCCAAAGTTCTTTAAGCATTTCGAGACGGTTCTCTCAAAAAACAAGGAGGGCAAAGGAGAATGGCTATATGGCACAGACCTTACATATGCAGATCTTGCACTGTACCATCTCGTTGAAGGGGTGCGTTTTATATTTCTCTTTCATTCATTTATGTCTTTTATGAAAACGAATTATTAGTTGCTATTTGCCTTTCCTCGTGCTGTCGGAGATATTCTGAACGATTATCCGAAAATCTTTGACCTTCATCATCGAGTCAAGGCTCGTCCCCGTATCGCAGCTTATCTCGAGAGTGATCGTCGTCCGAAGTTCTCCAATGGTCTGTATCGCCATTATGAGGAGCTTGATTCACCCGAGAAGGATGTTCCAGGGAAGGGAGGAAAAGAACAGGAAGCAGACTGAGGGATTTGCAGCGGATACAACAAAATGAATTGTTTACTTGAGATTTGACTAAAGAATGTAGAAATGTACTGTCATACTTCACTGTCGCTCTCAGAGCTTCCGAGAGCCGCAAGGCACTGAAAGAGTTACTATCTATAGACAATGTAGGGGCGAAAACCGTCCAAATGCAAATGATTTTGTTTCGTTAAATCTCTTACTCCGGCCATTCACTGCCTTGGTTATTAATATAAAATGTCCATAAGTTCCTGTGTATACACAATTTCCTAGAGATAATTGGTTACCAAGGCAATGAAGTTACTGATTAGTTACTAAATATAATACATAGCGATTATAAGTCGATATAGCACAATTATATATACTCCATATGCAACGTGCAGGTTAGCCAAAGAAAACAAATTGTCTGTAAGTGCAAGTAAACTGTAAAATAGATAAATCGTTGACACTTCACGTGGATGGAAACGAGAGTGCAAGAACGCAGCAAGAGAAAAAAAGTTCACATAATTATGCATTCCTTGTGTCTGCGCTTAGCCAACACGCCTGTCTTCCCATGCTTCCCTTTCGAGTCTGTCTTCTCCATCCCATCACCTATTTCAACAGAATTATCTGCCTCTGGCAATCCTGCATTCGTGCTTGGCATTCGCAGCCCGTCCGACATATCATCGGATGTGCTCGTTGTCTCTTCCGAAGTCCTCTGACTTTCCCCGTTCCTCAGCACGTTCCGGGTCAGCCTCTTCTCTTTTGCTTTCAGCTCCTTCTTCCGCTTTGTCATCGTGTCCACCGTTTTCTCGCCCTTATCCATAGCGAAGCTTTGTATCCCCATCTCATCAAAGGTGGAGAACCTTGCTGATACGGGGCGCGAAGGCGACCGCGATGTCGGTACGGATGCGGAGTTCGCATTTCCGGCAGCATAGCTTAGAGGCGAGCGCCTCCGCATAGGGGGTAGGAAACCGTCAAGGCCAACATCCGAGATAGTTCTTCGCCCTGCTCCAAGGCTAGTAATAGGCCCTGGATCAATGAGCGAAAACCGTCGTTGTTCCGGAAACTGTATAGGTTCCAGCAATTCGTTTGCTTCTGTCATCGAATTCAAAGCAACGGTCGAATGCCGCCTCGCATCATATATAGAAGTCGGCGGTAACGAAATGTCACGGCCGGTATCAACAGGCTCAAATAGCAGTGTCGAGTTTCGAGCTGGGCGAGGTTCTGAGTCTTCGGGAAACGGAGGTGTAAGTGGACGTTGTGGACTGCTAGGAGATGATACGAGTAGGGCGGGTTGGTCTAGATTCGATTCCGGTATTTGTAATTTGGGAAAAGCAACGGGAGAAGGTAGACTCTGTGTTTGCTCTGGCTCCGCTTGTGGTGGCGTGGCATTTTCCAACGTGGATTCATAGTCAGGCTGAGAGGACTGTATTCCCTAGATCCGTATTAATAGTGTGAGTATGGCTATCCAGGAGCAATGAGTGGAGCAGTATGAATATGCAATGGCGTCAAGGAAATGGATGAAACCAGCCATGCGAATGACGACGTATACAAAAAAACTCACGCTTTCCTGAGGCCCTGCAGACGATGAGTTTTCGTCTAGCAGCAAGTTGAGCCTTGAAGTTGAATCATTATCGACATTGCCGTTCTCCACACACACTGACGTGACCCCATGTGCGTCGACGGAATTAACCGACTGGTGAGGAATTTCTGTCAGATCTAGAGTCGTTTTTTGTACAGACGATCGATCCTCCTCCTCCTCGTCTTCGTTTTGTGACACGTCTCCTTCTTCACCGCTCGTTTGGCAGTCCTTCTCACCATCTTTGCTTGACGGTACCCCAGACTCCGAGTCCGACAAAGACTGAGTGGAACTAGACAACGTCTCCTTCTCGAGCATTGCTTGTTAAGCACGCGGGACTCGGGAGTCGAGTCGACCAAGAGGAGTGGAGCAGTTTGGGAAGTCGGAGGCAACGATCCCTGGTCAGTCATACACGCGAGCTCAGAAATCACGACAAGTGCTGTGCGAGCGCCCCCGTCCGCAGTCTCTCGGCCATCCCACGGCGCGCGCGTTCTCGGCAGTCCTGCTGAGTTGAATCTTCGTTTTATGTCATTGTTCAACTGTCAAGGTTATAATTGCATACAGTGGCGCGCTGGATGTTAGCCGTACGGAGGCAAAAAGGAGTTGCAGCTGTGCAAACTAAATCCAATAAATTTCCTAAACGAACCTAGCTCGCTAGACTAAGACAGACCCACCAGTAAATAAATTCTGCTGTGTAATAAATGCGATAATGTGCTTCTCTTTATTGTACACATGCAACTTTTACTTGGAATCCGGGTTAACACCTGAGGGCACCTTATCCCACTTCCGAGGAGACATTGCAATATTTCATTGAACTTGACACACGGTATACGATTTGCCGTGCCTAAGTAACAGGCTGGGTTCACAATTCTATTCAAATCGTTTGAGCGAATTTGCAAGCTAACTCGAGTTTCCCAGATACGACTAGTATCGGCGTCCCCGCCAGGTCCTGTCCGTCAAGGAATAACGTATTTCATAAACAAGGACTCGAATTAACACATTACTCTGTATTAACACTTACAAAGATAGACATGATAGGGACTAGGAAATGTAACCACATCACACGATCCCGTAGCACTACAATTCCTAATCAACCACTAACCTCGAGCGTCATAGCCTCGATAACAACACCCATCTCTGCTTCACGCCATCTCCGCCCAAGCACCTTACTCGGCCGTCGACTTCCAGCTTCTTTAAATGGAGTTCGACACTATGTGCAGCGGGCAGCCATAGATTCTCTGGATAGTCCTTGTAGATTTGGCCGACGATATCCCATATTGTCCACGCAGAAGATCCATCATCTCCGTTGTTTTTGGTTGGTGGCCCACTGTTAAGAACTTCTATGATTTGCGATTCACGTTCCAAGCGATGCTTGATATAAGTAGCAACAAGTCCAGGCCCGTCTTCGACAACTGGTCCATGGCCTGGGTAGATCAATTTGAAATCCGTGCCAGTACCGCTGTCGTTGCGACGTGCAAGTAATTGTTGGAGGCTGTGTATGTACATGCCGAGGTCCTCAAAGACAGCAGTTCCCTGACCAAGGACGCTATCCGCCGAAAAGAGGACATTCGGTCGTGCTTCCGTTTCATCCCTGCTTCTCAAAAGTAGACATATCGAGTCTGGAGTATGTCCAGGTGTATGGATGATCTCGAGAGAAGCAGACTTATCCACCGTTTCAAGTTGTTGGAAGTTTTGTAAGTCATGTACGACAGAGCCAGAGGGACTCGGATAATATACGCCTTTCGGGATTCTAGAGAGAACGGACTGTAGGTCGCGCTCGTCGCTACAGTCTATTGTCTCCGGTGGGGAGGGATATTTGTGTATCCGAGGTCGAACGTTATCCATATCAACATTGTTCTCCCCATGAAGATTCTGCAGCAGTTTCAGAACATCCGGAACGCCGCCATAATGATCATGATGTCTATGTGTTATAACGATGTCGGACACCAAACGTCCTGGTTGCGAAGTTCCATACACTTCATCTCGTGTAGAGAGTAAGGCACTCTCCAAGATAGGTAAATATTCTCCCCGGCCTTCTCCTGTGTCAATGAGTATAAATGGAGGACTTTTGCCGACGAGGTATGTATTTGTTCCTTGCAGCGTAAATTTTCCTGGATTCTGTAAGTATAATCAGTAGGTATAGAGCCTATGTATGGAAGGCATGAATTTACCTGGCCAAGAACGCGAACGACATGGCTGCTCAGCTTTGTGAGTCAGCATCATCAGACGGATCACAACACAGACGATAAATCCTGCAGACGTACTCTTGTTACGTTTTGCAGGGATTTCAGCACCTCCATAGTCAAAGGGAAATTCGATATTAGCGCTTTTCGGGAAAACCCAATATTAATGTGCCGACAGTAGTAGGTATAACACAGAGAGAGTAGTGCTGATGTCCGGCAGACGTCTTGAAGGTCCGCTTACCCGGTTATTCGCAGATAACCGAATCAGTAATATGTATTCCGCCCAAATATAGAGAATACACGCTCAGTCAATATAATTCCATTAAACTTAATAAAATTATAGCAAGGTTGATGTGGAACGGGATTATTGTATCAAACAAAGTGATCAGTAGACAAAACTTGAATACAACTAAGTTTCAGGCCAGGACGGCCCACTTTGGGTGGGTCTTGAAGAGATACTCCGTACTGTGTCTCCTGAAATGGTTGGGAGGGGACGATACCGACGTTCTCCACTGTTATTCCCCATCATATCATGGTCTTGCCGCCCAAGCACTCCATTAAAATGGACACCTGCTCTTACAGGTACAGATGGACTCGGGTCTCCAACCTGTCCAACCAATGATTGAGAAGCTTGCGAGGTGGATGGTTTGGATGGTAGCACAGTATGAGTGTCCCGGGTACGAATAACTTGCTGAACAAACGGAGTAACAGTGTGATATCCCTCCTGCGGTGATGCCTTTCCAATTCGACGCCTCTTCATATAGTAAAATCCTCCGGCCAAGGAACCAACAAATAAAACCGCAGCGACAATGGGTCCGACAATTATCCCGACGTTTTTCTTTTTCGTATCGCTTTCCTGTGACAGATCTGTTGGGGTGGTTGTCGGGCTACCCGAAGCAGTGCTGGTAGCATTAACATCGTCAATGCCATCATCTGTCCTGTCAAAGAAGTTAACATTATGCGTGTTAGTAATGTGCAGGTGAACTGACGTATATATTATCGAATCAAGAAGAATCAATGCCTTTTGATCCGCAAGACCGACATCGATCTGTAAAGTATGCGTAGTATTCGAAAGGCCTGTCTGAGAGAAAACAGGTGCATCGAAGACGTATGTGGTATTCCCATCTGGGCTTTGTTGGAAAATGTTAATTTTTTCATCGTCAATGGAGAATGTCATATCCGAATTTCCATCCGGCGATGTGAATGATCTTGTTAATATGCAATTGACATACACAGCGATTCCTGAACATGAATCATGTCATAAAAATCAAGTAAGTATTCGGATCGGATACTTCTCACCAGTAAATCGCACGGAGGCATGGATTATTTGTCCTATTTCGTTATTCGTAGCCGTATTGTTCGGGTTGAATGATGCATCATGCCACGTTCCCATCCAGGCACTGCTCGGTGGACTTGGTTTAGCAGTGCATGGAATGCAGCCGTTTCCCTGCTGCCATGCACCCTGCGGAGTGTACACAACCTGTCCTCCAGTATTTGGGTCGCCGTAAGTATCATCAATCGTAACGTTGTTTAATCGCGCTGTGGTGGCAATAGGACGAAATGCTAAAGAAAACAGCACAACGAGCAGTACGTCCAAAAACCTGTGGCGATAAATTCCGGGTAAAACGCAAGTATGATTAAAGAGCACTAAGCAGCTTACTTGTGTTTCGATGCTCGCATCCCGAATAAGAGGGCTAGATGCACCTTCAACAAGCGAGCATGGATGATGGGAGCGAAAGAGATGTGTGCCTCCGGGATTAGATGGAAACTTATAGATGGGCGCCGAGCATCAGTTGAACATCATAATTTTGGCTGAACTTTGTCGTGTTTGAAACAGGCAGACCTGTTCTTGGAGCTCGTTATCACATCCCGCGGGTAATACATCCACCATCGAAGCCACAAAAGAACATTGTGATTGATTCCATTTCTTAAAGTAATAGTCGATGTGTGATGAAGATAATGAACACATCATTCGATCTAACTTGTCAGGTCAGGAAAAACCGTTACTGTCGGTACTGGGGGAAAGACTTGGTCTGGCTACGTTACCGGAGGAATGCAAAAGTAATCGTTGGTATCCGAATATTACGGACGTCGTCAAGTGCCTTTTCGACAGGTGATTGAGAATCAGATGTTGATGGTTGCTCTATACAACGTTTAAAATAACTCACTGACTTCAAAGAAGGAAAAGAGTTTCCACGCTTACCGCAATTGCTAAGTTATTTACTGTTGCTGTTTATGTCGTCCGAGAGTTTAGAGTTTCACATAGCACAACTGAGCTTGCAGGCGAGTAGATTGCAATTAAGCCGTGAGATTCTACCCTGCAGAAAGAACATCTGTTCAGATTCTCTGCTCCATGTTGCAAAACAAGAATTAAAGACTAAGGCGGTTTGCTGTGTGAATACTGTCAAATCTATGTCTGAAACTACGAAGCCTTGGCTGCTGGCTGGAGGCCAAATGTGACAGGGTTAGAGGCATGGGCTTATAGATGCATCTATACAAGCACACTACGTAGTGCGGTCGATGAGCTCCTGATGACACAGTCGGAATGTTCTTCCACTAGATGAATATATCCGACTGTGAAGATGTATCCAGCGCATGCCTCGATGGAATAGAGAGCGACGAGTGAAATCGTATGCACATCGAAGCAGAGTAATCGGCGAAGTTGTATGTACCAGTTCGCAACCTGTGTGATCCTGGAATTCCCTAATGCATTATGCATGACGTCGACCAGTCCACCTTCGCAAAATGTGCGGTGTCAGGTATATTTATTTGAAACTTCGGATCCCTGATACGAGCTTGCAATAGGAGATACGGCCCGCGAATGTTGCGCAGAACTAATTCCTTGCTCGAAAGGTGTAATTTTCCCGCTGACGTCAAACCCAACACATTGATTCCTCTTTTTTCGATCCCGCTTTAGATAAATAACGAAGCCGATGACGAAGCCAATGATCGCGACTATCACTACAACGAGTCCGGCAACCAGCGCCTTATTCAACCGATCAGCACTACTCGGCGTGGCAGCATCCGGAACTGACGAAGGTGATGAACCGGTATCTTGTTCTCCATCATCCACTCTTTGAAGATATCCCGTCATTTGACGTAAGATTGAATGTCGCAGTGTTTTACTTACGTGTATATAATCGAATCAAGTAGAATCATTGCCTTTTGTCCAGCAAGCCCCGATTCCATACGAAGAGTATGTGAAGAATTTGAAATCCCAGTCATGGAGAAAACAGTGGAATTGAAATGATATGTCGTGTCCCCGTTCGGACTCATTTGGAACACGCCAGCCTCAGTGTCGTCAAGAAAGAACGTCAGATCCGTGTTTCCGTCGGGAGAAGACGCCGACCTCGTTAATATACAGTTGACATATACAGCGGCACCTTAATCATATCAGATCGGGTTTTGCCAAATGCGAAAGCAGTATGTCTCCTCTCACCAAAGAATTCCACCGATGCGTTGATAATCTGTCCAATGGCATTGTTCACGCTGGTGTCGTTGGGATTGAATGTTGCGTCGTGCCACGTTCCCATCCAGGCATTGCTGGAAGGACTTGGTTTAGCAGTACAAGGTCCACATCCATTTCCTTGCTGCCACGCGCTTGACGGACTGTATACGATTTGATTTCCGGTTATGGGATCTCCATAAGTGTCGTCGATAGTAACATTGACCAATTTTGTTAGGCCGGTCGATAAGAGGCTTGCAATAAGAATGAGCAACAAGCTCATATCCTTGTGCACGTCTGATAGAGGCGTCAATAGATGGTGGAGGAATAGTTTGATGGGAACGACCTGCGAGCTCAGAGACTGGCGAGACGCACATTCTCTCAATAAGACAGTGCGGGGATCTGAGGAGCGTCCTCACAGCGTTGTCATGTAATGCGCTGGATATCATCCAAGCCATCACTATCCGTGATGCACACCGGGACTAATTTTCAATCCGTGCCAGCATAGAGAACAACAGTTTCTGAAAAAAGAAGAGAACGACGAGTTTGATGTTCGATCACATCGTAGCGATCACTTGCACGGAGTCCGTTGTATGCCGGTGGCGCACGAGAAACCCGAGATGTTGAGACGAGGCAGTGTTAAATCGGCAGGGTGGGACTATTGACACAAGTCCCGACGTTTCGATAGTTTATACCTGTGGCTAACGTAAATGGCAGAGATAAGAGGGAAAATAAGAGGCCCATCAAAAGGATAAATCGAAGCAAGGCAGACTCCTCAGACAACCCACAGTGAGAGAATTTAAAAAACGGACGGACAGGATCATCACGAAAGTATTCGTCATCGGTGGCTCATGCACGTCCATTATGGGATCTCTTTGATACCCCGCCTTCACCCTGACGATCATGCCCTTCTTAAGCCGAATCGGATCTGATGATTGTTGACTAGGCAGCCGAGCTTATTCGTCTGGGCACTGGCACTGTCCGCAAGAAGGACAGATTCTGTTACGGTTGTCAACTGAGAAGCACCTTTAGGAATCGAAGAAGATAGTAGTGGTGTTTTGTGGTGACGTATCACTCGTCGCGTCTGACTTGGTAGGTGCCGTTTGATCTTAGTACGCAGGCGCTTGTTAGTATCATCGTGCGGCATGTGTCATGCAACAGAGAACACTGCCTGATCTTGTCTTATGCAAGCCGTTCGGGCTCTTTTAATCCAGGAGACGAATATCGCCACGGTCTTATTCTCCCTCAGAAACCGCAGACTTTCACGGGCTAATGCTCTGAAATTGTCTACAAGAAACACAGAAAGATACCAATAGCATGTGACAATAAGATATGCGACGCACCGCACCATCTTGGTATGCAGTGCAAGCTTTTTTGCAGTCCACCAAGTCCACAGCTAGTCATCACTCCATCACTCCGTCTTCTTCCCCTTCCGCAACTCCTTCTCTGCTCCGCCGCCAGCAAGCCACAATATCGTAAACAGCACAAAGCCCGTGCTCGTGCTGATCGCACCGGCGTAGTACGGCCATGCCGCGCTCAAGAAACGCGGATATCCGTCATGGCGCGGAGGTACAACTGGAACAGTAAGTGCGCTCTGTAAGAACGTCCACCCTTGACGCTTATAATCGAGTACGAATTTGAATACGCCATGACGGTCTGGGGCGCGGAATATTTTCGTATACTTCCCTTGGCATCGGCTACCAGTACATGTCTCCGAAGGAAGTGCAGTGCGTATGTGGGGGTCTAGCATTGTAAACTCGAGTTGCAAATCGTTCAGACCGGAGTATGGCTCCCATTCACCATTGTCGGGGTTCCATCTACTAACACGCACAGTATACTGCACTTGATCGTTTACTGTGTACTGGTCAGGTAAACCTGCTGTCTCGTTGGCACCAGCATGTCGATGGAAAGCCTCATCGATGCGCAGGACATTGGTCTCCTGGAAGACCCATTTTGCAATATCCTGAACAAAACGAGCATTCCCGTAATCTTTCTTCTTTGTAAACGTATTCGAAAACAGCGAGATTCCTCCCGCAAACACTGCACGGCCATTGCCAGTTCGAGTCTGGAAGCCTGTGACGAGACCGAGTTGACTACCCGCCCAGAGACCCTCACCGCCTTTATCTGCTGAGTCGACCACAGCATCAGCACCATTGTCGCTATCGGTATCCGTCGCAAAAGATTCCGGAGGTGCGCGAAGAATAGGCACGACAAGTGGATTGAGCCCGAGTGCATGTGGTGCGCCATCAAAAAGTACAGGAGGGATGTCGGAGGAAAGTATGGGGTGATTCTTTGGTACTGGTACAGTTATCAATGAATGCAGACCATCACGTTCAGGGAAGTGAGAAATAAGAGGCGTGTGCGGAGGTGCGGGAATGAGCGAGAACTCAGATGCAAGGGCCATGAGTGGTGTCTGAGTTGGCGACAGAGTGAATAGGACGTTAACACCCGATGAGATGAGGGATACAATGGTCTGAGGGGTTATATCGGGAGCATACGCTGCACATGTTGTTAGGCAAGACCTGCAAGTTCGTTAAACGATGTAACGTACATTTAGTTGTCGGTGTAAAGAAAATGACATGGTTAAATTGCGGGATGTCATCCTCGACAAGTAACGGTTCCTTTGCCTTTGGGTCACGAAACGTCAGCTTAAATCCACGGTCTAGAGTTCGAGAATGTCAAAATGTTAGCATGGACGAGAACGTTACATACAATGAGACTTGCCTTCAAGCCCAGCAAAGAACGTGGAATACTGTGTCTTGTCCAGGTCCTTCTCAAGTAGGACGAGTACTGAGTCCCCAGCCGCCGACTTTGCAGTCACGAAATGTAACAGATTCACCAAAAGAGCGACAGTGAAAACGAGCCAACGCCTCATTGTCGCCGACGTTGGTAGAATGATGATATGCAGTAAGGTAAGGCTAAGGCTAAGCTGTTCAGGACGCGACGTGTCTACGTGTCGGGTCACGTGCTAACTGCGCAGCACATAACAAAATACATCAAAAAAAGAAAACGGTGCATGCTACAGCGTTTCCGGAAAACTATGAGAGTCGCGTCGTTCTTTTTTTTTCCTTGCCACCTGCCTTATTTGGCAGGTGACTTGCCAAGCAACATACACATAGCTTGCCATACAACAATACAGTACTGTACTTGCCTTCATAAGAGTTTTCAGACACTCTCTAGTATTATAAGACTAAAATAGCAAATATATTAGGTTAACAGGACTGTCTTGGAGGATGCTAGCTTCTTAACAAGAGTGGTACAATCATTCAAACATGTAACAACAAAAAGGAGGTAATTCTGTCAATATCATAGAGGGGAATTGTATTTGAAAAGGTTCAGCATGTGTTTTAATGTATAAAAAGGTGTATATTAAGTGGAAAAACAGTACAGAGATTTTGTTTGTGTCTAAACAGAAAGGTGGTTGAAGTCACCTGCCAAATGAGGCAGGTGGCAAGGGAAAAAAAAGAACGACACGACTCTCATAGTTTTCCGGAAACGCTGTAACTAAGGAGCAGCGAAAAGAATATAACAGCACATCCCATAAAAGCCATTAATGTTAGAGTTCTTGACCTCACCCACATTCGCCTCCACAATGCTTCCAATCCATAGAAAACAGTAACGAGAACTTAGAAGCATAAACAAGGAAGGAGTCAGGACCAATCTACGTGTCCACCAACCGTCCCATGCCTCAAACAGCCAGAGGAGCAGGGGTATTTCAATAGTGTTCGCCCCGAGAAACTGCATAATAAAGAAAGGAGCAGCATTCTGGAGACGAAAGAATATCTGAGTGTATTATAATAACCAACCTAAAAGCGCTCGTGCAGAATATTGAAGCGCAAGATCATAGGAATGTTGCTTCACTGCAGCCACCTATGCTGATGTAAGCACAAAAAATCAGATCAGAAGAGACGGGAAGAAGACCCACAAGCTTTTGTTGCCTAACCTCCTGTAAATTACAATAGCGTTCTAGCTCATACTCAAAAGCTTCATCGTCTAGTATGCCCTGGTAGTTGTATTATTGACATTGTTAAGTTGAAGGGGTTTGAAAACTTACCAAGTACACAGATCTGAGGTAACAGGTTTGATATCCTCCAATCAGTTGCAATAGCTTGGAATGAGGATGCCTATACTCTCTGTGTTGTAAGCTCCATTGCCTCCATGCAAAGAATACTAATCGTAGCACCGGTGGAAACCATCACTTTTATGGCACAAGCACATAAATTTGCAGAGCTTGCTAATGAGCTATAGGTCTAAGCAGCACAACAAAGGCACCACATATTCTTCTATCGAATGCAGCGACAAAGGATCAAGATGAGAGGTGGCAAACAACGTTGCAGCGTGCCGCATGCCAATGAGGACAATTGAAATTGAAGTTTGAACAGAGACATGTTATGTAATTTAGCTACTACCTACGTAATTCGGACAGTTCCGACGTTACGGACGGAGGCAAAGTTCTGATCGTCTCGACTTTATCACCACTGTGCCGAATGCCGGCTTGTTCAATGTAAACGGTTCTTCAGGCGACCTGGTCCAATGGAAATGTTTGTATTGATCACATAAATCCATGCCTCTCTATCAGAAACAAGAATGGAAAATTAATTTCTCGGCACGATGAATTGGCATGAGGCTGGCTAGGCAAGGCACAAATTCTTCTAATTCAGCCAGTTGCCCCTGAGACCACAAAGACTCTCCTATCCAGCTGACTGCCTTCTCTCATTCTGCTTCCGTCTTCTCAAGTCATTCATGGAGACGCTAACTTTCTCAGTGGATGACTTGAGAGACCAGATAGTCTCCCTTGGTCAATACGTGACGCCGAAGACTGCTGCTCTCGTCGCGGCTGCTACAACTCTTGCCTGGCTTGTGTATCGTGCCATTCGGCGAGTACGTGTCAAATCGCTCATCCGTGGTCTTCCTGGCCCAGACAATCCATCATGGCTTACTGGTATCATCCAGCAATATCATTGATTCGACGAGAAACGTTGACAAAACCTTGCCCCTATTTAGGTAACTTCCCAGAAATATATGATGTACTAAACGTACGATGGCACCAAGAGGCTGTCAAGAAATACGGAAAGCTCTTCCAGATAAACGGCATGTTTGGTGTGAGTTTACGCTGAAGCGCCAGCACATGCCAAGTTGGCTTATTCTCACACTCTCGTCAATACAGGACGAGCAGCTTTATGTTGTCGATCCTCGCGCGATGCATCATGTCCTTGTCAAGGAAAATGCAATTTTTGAAGAGCCTCAGTCTCTCCTTGTGTTTGTTGTTTTCCTATTTCCCCTGTCTATCCTAATTTCCCTGTAATGGTATTGACTAATTGTACAGAATGAATCGCGTTCTCATGGGCGATGGTCTCCTCGCCACCCTCGGTATGTCACTTTTTAATTTGGTAGATTATATACTCTGATCCTACATTTGACACTTTGATACATGATAAGGCAACCACCATAAAAAACAGCGCAGGATACTTAACCCAGTATTTTCTGCAAAGCACATGCGTGACCTCCTCCCAGCATTTTGGCCGGTAACGCAGAAGGTACGGAGCCCTGTTTTTCTCGCCATTTGACAGTGGTTTCTTAAATTCTGAGTAATGAATTTTGCAGTTATGTAAAGTGTTCGAGTCAAAGCTTGAAGTAGGTGCAACAGAGATAAACGTTTATGAATGGGCTGGCCGATCGTCTCTGGAACTTCTCGCGCGGGGAGGGTTAGGCACAACTCTCGATTCTTTGGTGGACGGAGAGGTCAGCGAACACGCCAAGCTTATTAAAGAGATGGTGTACGTAACAGTTTATTCGCATTATCCTCAATAGCCTGAATTCGTGCCGTCTCTCAGACCGACAGTATCTCGCTTGCATGTCCCAATGCAACTTCTTCCACTCGTCTACCCATTCTTCCGGGCCCTCCCCGAGGGACTACGAACTAATATGCTCAAATATTCTCCTTTCCCTTCCGTGCGTGCTTTTCCACGTACCTTCCCTCGGTCTGTGTAGCTGAAACGAAGAGACTTCGTCAGGTTCGAAGGCTCATAGAGATCACCGAACGTCTTGAAACTACCAGTCGTATGGTGTTGCAAAGCCGTAGCGCAGCAGTCCTTAACGAGTTATCAGAAGGCCGTAACAAGGAGTATGATGATACATCAATCATGCATAATCGTGCGAAGGATATCCTGAGTGCCTTGTGTAGAGTCCCTTCTTATTCTAAATTCATTAATGAGCTAACTTCACTGTTCTGTCACAGTGCGCGCACAACTCAATGCACCAGAGTCGGAAAACATGCCATATTCTGAAGTTGTTAATCATGTCACGTAGGATCTTGTATCTCTCCCTTGCTAGTCCCCGTAGCTCATTCTTTTTCTCGCCGGCGGACCCAAGAACGCTTATCTTTACGGCGCAAGATACGACGGCATCAGCTCTATCCCGTTGCCTCCACGTCCTCGCCGCTCATCCAGAGGCACAAGCCCTACTTCGTCACGAAGTCCGAAAGGCAAAAGAAGTGGCTGACCAGACGGAATCAGCTTTCGGAAATTATGACGACCTCATTCGGCTTCCGTTCCTCGACGCAGTCGTTCGTGAGACGTTCCGGATGCACACCCCCGTAAGCTGGATATGGCGCGTTGCCCGTGCACCCACGACGCTCCCACTTTACCAACCAATCCAAGTTAACGGGAAAGGCGGAAAGAAAGAAACCCTTGCTTCCATTCCAATCGCGGAAGGCCAACAAATAGTGATTGGAATTGCGGCCTCGCATCGCGATGAGAGTACTTGGGGATCAGACGCTAACATTTGGCGTCCTGAGAGGTGGTTGTCTTCCTCCCAATACGAAGGAGAGGTCACTGGAGAAGATGAATGGAAGGCCGATTTGCGCCCTGTACCAGCTCAGGTGGATAGCGAGGCGCGATATCCTGGAATTTATTCCGGAATGTAAGTTCTTTCGTCTGTACACCATATCCTTCGTACTCAATCATCGACAGGATGACTTTTGCTGGAGGTGGTCGCTCTTGCATGTGTGTATCTATTCTTCAGATTTTGTCTTCGTAGTTATTCATCCTCTTCTCGCACAGTGGATTTAAATTCGCGCTACTCGCGCTAAGTAGGTTTCCGCCCCGTTTTTTCGCCGCCTGATAGCTCATGCTGTTCATCAATTAGAACTGCAACTCGCTGCGCTCGTTGATCGCTTCGAATTCTCACTATCTGAAGAAGAGATCGTCTGGAACATGAACCATATCGCTGCTCCGACCGTCCGTGGCCGAGAATCAGAAGGCGCACAGCTACCCTTGCGTGTGTCAATTGCTGCATGATAATGATGACTTCAATATGGATACTTTCTTCAATACTATATGCGTAACTCCATTAGCTTTAGTTTGTGTGCCGATCCTGATATTCGAGAGAACTAAAACATTATCGTCCAACCGTGTACTTAAACAAGACGTTAATTTACCTGTCAAATTGCCTGTCTCATCTCTTCAAGTACTTTTGCGTGATAAAGTTCTTATTACTACATCACGAAAAAGTCGCAACACTTGTATTAGATTATAACCAGGTATATTTTATACTTTTTGTAAATTTTGTTGAAGCAATTATATTCTTCATAGGGGTTTTCACAAGTTAATTATAATTTAATGCAAGTATAATAAGAATCTAGAACAATTATTGGAATTACTGTTATTAATTATGATTGTACATATTGTCAAGATATATAAGTGATTATAACATACCTCCCAAAATAATAATGTTAAAATATACTTATTATTTTTTGACAGTATAGTATTCTCTTACAATATATACAAGTCATTACAAGCATCTGGATAGATTGCTTCTGCTTTGCATGCAATTTTGTATCAAATAATTAATAAATGTAATTATATTTAATTATTTAATACAAAAAGATAGTGAATATTATATTATTTCTACGGTCCCAATCCCTGCACCACTAGCAGCCTCTGCCTCATTCTTCTGCAAGCAGAATTCACGTTGGTAAAGGATTAACGTGTCCTTGGGCCATACAAAGTAGTCTTCGTCACCACGCCTTGGTCGTCGCTCAGTCCCTGCGAGTTGAATTGCAAGGTCGAGCAGGTTTTGGAGGTTGAGGCTACGCCTGTGAAACAGGCTTAGAGTGATTTAGCGAGTAACAATAAGAAAGAAAAGATGGACGCACAG